ATTACAAGTGAGAATGATAAAGAGGGAATTTAAGCTTTTAAATCCTTTATCTGCTAGTATCTTTTTTGTAGTAGATTGTAGTAGACATTAACAAGATAACCAGACTACTCAACTGGAGTTATGGGGTGTGAGATGTGAATGCTGATTGGTGGGGAAGGGGAAGGTGGGACACAGAAAGCCACTCTTATGGAAAGCAGTCGTAATTTTTTATACCAATCTGGTTCTGCCCAGTTAAAGAATTTGGGCAGACCTTCAGTGGTATGAGTTTCTGCCACTAGATAGATCAGCTTGGAATAAATCTGATAAATCTATAAATCTGATAACTCTATAAATCTGATCTCATAACTGGCTGACCAACCGCACTCAACATGTAGTCCTCAATGGAACTGCATCTACATGGAGGGAAGTATGCAGTAGAGTATCCCAAGGCTCCGTTTTAGGCCCAGTACTCTTCAACACCTTCATCAATGACTTGGACGGGGAACTCATCAAATTTGCAGACAATACCAAACTGGTAAGAATAGCCAACAATGCAGAAGATCAGCTTAAGTTATAGAAGGACCTTGAGAGACTTGAATATTGGGTGCTATCTAACAAAATGAAATTCAGTGTTGAAAAAAGTAAGCTTCTACATTTAGGCAAGAAAAATCAAATGCACAGGTACCATGTATTTGGTGCCTTGCTCAATGGTAACTGTGAGAAATCTCGGAGTCCTAGTGGACAACCATTTAAATATGAGCCAGCAGTGTGCAGCAGCTGCCAAAAGAGCTAATGCAATCCTAGGCTGCATAAACAGAGAGATAGAAACAAGATCACGTGAAGTGTTAATACCACTTTATAATGCCTTGGTAAGGCCACACTTGGAATACTGCATCCAATTTTGGTCACCATGATGTAAAAAAGATGTTGAGAACTCTAGAAAGAGTGCAGAGAAGAGCAACAAAGATGATTAGGGAACTGGAGGATAAAACATATGAAGAACAGTTGCAGGAACTGGGTATGCCTAGTTGAAGGAAAAGAAGGACTTGGGGAGACATGATAGCAGTGCTTCAATATCTCAGGGGCTGCCACAAAGAAAAGGGAGTCAAGCTATTCTCCAAAGCACCTGAGGGCAGGATAAGAAGCAATGGGTAGAAACTAATCAAGGAGAGAAGCAGCCTTAGAACTAAGGAGAAATATCCTGACAATTAGAGCAATTAATCAGTGGAACAACTTGCCTCCAGAAGTTGTGAATGCTCCAACACTGGAAGTTTTAAAAAGATGTTGGATAACAATTTGGCTAAAGTACTGTAGGGTTTCCTGCCTAAGCAGGGGGTTGGACTAGAAGACCTCCAAGGTCCCTTGCAACTGTCTATTCTATTCTATTCTATTCTATTCTATTCTATTCTATTCTATTCTATTCTATTCCATTCTAATTCTTATTCTATTCTAAAGCTTGTTTCATCCAGGGCTGAATAACAGGTAAGAAGGATAAGAACAGGTAAGAAGGATAGCCTGGAATGTATCATTGAAACCTGGATAGGTGTTGGAAGCTGGATAGTAAAAGTGGCCTTTAGGTTTAAAATGGGATTGCTACTTTTGTACCAGCCTCACTCCCTCGTGGTTTCACAGTCTCAGCTGCTTGATGTTTTGGCCAAACTGTTAATGGACTTCTCAGATTTATGCTACTGGTGGGGCTTCAATCTGTTTTCCCTGGATGAAGACTTGCATGTAGTTCAAGAATTCATAGCCCTGATCAGAATATTGAAGGGCCAAGTTACATAGCAAAAGTCACATGTTACAACATATCTGGGTATTTGACTCAAAATAGTGGCATCTGGAGGTAGATGATATTATCATCAATCATTTGTCATAGACAGATCACTTTTTAACATAATTATTTGCAATTATTCCCATTGCAGAAAGGAAAGATCAATTTAACTGATCTACTCCAGACATATGATGGATTTCAATGAATTTCAGAGGGAATTTGGGATGTTCCTGAAATCTGTTGTCTGGTTTGACTAAGGTTTTACCCATACTTGGAATAGAGGAATGCGAGGAGATGAAATAGCAGAAGAGACCCTTAGAAGCCACAAGAAGCTAATTCTACTAAGCATGGTTAAAGGTAATTTACTGTTGCTCATAGGAGTGGCAAAACTATTTTTCTGTTCTTATTATACCTGCAAATAGGAAGCTAGCAGCCCTATTAAGGTATATGACTCCCTCCTAGATAAAAATGGACAGTGGAACATATGTAATTATTATTTAAGGTTATCTTATGGATATATCTGCTTGGATCCTCTCAAAATCCTATGGAGTTAACAGACATATCTGGCTTAATTTTCTGAAAATTGTTTAAATCTTTTGGTCTTCAAGAATTGGAGAATCCTGGAAGCTGCGTATGTGCCTACTTTTGTATTATACCTATATTTCTCCTTAGTAGATCAAGACTTTCTGGGAGACCATGAGGTTGGATCTAGGCAGTGGTAATCCCACTGGCTTTTAAAGAGACAGTGATTCACCCCCCATCTTAAGAAATATGTTGGATCTGATGGTGTGTCAGAATTTTCGTTCTATCTCTCAATTTTCTCTTTTTTAGGGAAGATACTCGCCTATCTCAGAAAAATGATTGGGCAGTAAAATCAATAATCTGTCACTTAAAGTTCATCTTAAGGAAAGATGGACGGCCTATAAATTGTATATATATAAATAAAACAAACAAAACAGTTAAGACAGATATATTGTTATAAATAAATGCAAAATAAAAACTATGGGAGAACACATTAACATCCTATATAGAGGGTAATCATCCTGTGTGTTCCTAAAATCTGCTGGAGAAAAATGGTTTTCAGAGATGTCTAAAATGCCAATGGAGTCAGGACTAATCTCATCTCAGGGGGAATAATGTTCCAAAGGGTAGGTACCATTAAAGAAAAGGCCCAATTCCTGTGACCTATCAGATGAAACTCTTTACCAGATGGGACTACAGCATACTTGTCTTTCCAAGAGGCTGGTTCCAGCTGGCATGGCGGAGAAATTTACATCTAGCTATAGTTCCCAGAATTCCTCATGTCTCAACTCTTTCTCTGCTCATATATAATACCTACATGAAGTTGTTAGGCAGTACCATTTGTCAGTATGGGGGTTAAGTATTATGTATGTGTTGCTATTACTCAGATATACAATTCTAACTTTGGTAAACCCAAACTTATTTCTATGCTGTTCTGAAGGCTGTGAGCAGCTAGATGGGAAAGAATAGGCTTTGACCTAGAATGACTGAATGGTTCTAGTTTTTAAGACAACCCTCCATGTCAGGAATTTTTCATGCAAGGATGTATTGGCACTTCCCGACACAGATATTGCTTGCATCTTTGAAGTTCTGCTGGACTCTCTCAGACTTGCTCAAAAAGCAGGTGGCAGCTGTGACTATGAGCATCTTTGCACAAATCTTGTGTGCTCACCATGTTTATACTTGGATAGGGAAACTTTGCTTAAATTAATCCATTCCTGGTTCACTTTCTCTTTGGACTATTGCAAGAGACTCTCCTTGATGATGACTCAGAATCTACAACTGCTCCATGGTATGCTCATGTAACATCATCACTTTAGTAAATGAGCTGGCTCCTAAAGGATTTTGAGTGTAATTCCAATGGCTAATTATTAAGTAACTCAATGGGTTGAGTTACTTATAGGATGGCCTATCACCAATTATTTCTGCCCACCCCATGAAGTTTGACAAAGTAGACATGTTCCAGATCCCTTCTATGAAATTATTAAATGAAATGGGATCCAGAAAGTGTACCTTCTCTTTTACAACTCCTACACTGTGGAAAAGCACTATCCGCAAATGTAGATAGCTCTGATGGCTTTTTGTAAAATGAAAAATCTGATATTTTTTTCCCCATGGACAGTTCTGGAATGGTTAAAAGGGACTGGCCTTGAACTTTTTGTTTATTTCTTTTTGTTATTGACCCAATACTAACCCAATTTAATAATTTAAAGTATTTAGATCTCTTTATTAATCAGATTTGCCACAACTTTGGGCAAAAAGGTTTTTGTTTTGCATTGCCCACAGCAGAAGTTCAGCTTTCTTCTCCATAAATTACAGCAAAATATTCCCTGAAAGCAAGCAATGGCTAGCATGATTAGTAAATTTTTAGGAAAATAAAAATAAAAATGGACTTTCCTGTAATGAGTAGTTAAATGTCCTATAACACCAGGAAGACCATACAGGTCACACATGACCACCAGGCCTAGATTTAATGGCACCTGAAGAGCGACTAAGCACTGCTCAAGTTCAATACACAAGGCAGATCTGAACTAGTAACCTCTCCATTGATCTGCTATATTATTCTACTTATCTCGTATTTGAACAAGCTGCACCTTGTGAAATCCTACGCTCGCGATCGGAAAACTACCCGCTTTAAAAGCCACCGGGCCTACCATGAGATTTGCATATCGATTCTCTGCAGCCACCAAAAATAGCTGCAGCCATTCCAATTGCAAGAAATAAAAACCTTCGCCGTCTGGGCCTGAACAAGGAAGCAACCCAGCGAATGCAAACTGAGATAGGAGAGCGTTGCAAACCACTCACCGCTGCTAATGACTTCAAGCAATGCTTTCTCCTCCTCGTTCAAGTCACCTCTCTTTGGGAGCGCCATCGCCTATTTTATGTATATTCTTCCTTTTTTTTATTCCCTCCTTGCCAACAGTCATAAAATGGAGCGTATCCACACTAGAAACAGCGGCCGATCAACAGTGGCGACTCCGAAGCTTCCTCTGAGCGCTTTACCAGAGCCTTTCCGTGAGCGCGCCGACCTCATGGCCCATACCACCTTGTCACCGGGAAGAGGGGAAGTCTAAAGGCAGGCTGACATGTAGAGGGTAATTCATCTCTTTACGGCACCTGAGCTGTTTGTTCGGCCACGCATAAGTGTACGAGGAACAAAGTAAAAGTAGCGATTAAGAATATGCTAAACTTCCTGAATATGATCAATCACCCCCTCTTTATAATGGTGCAGCCTAATCGTGAAGTAGGCGGAGTTCAGGCTGCTTTTAGGTGTCAACGTGCTCGCCCTTCACTTCTCTATTGTGTACAGACGCTGGTATTGTGTGTATTGTTGGCTTCTCCTTAGAACAGAGCCTCTTCACCGGCAGAGGTAAGCGAATGTTGGGTTGTGGAGAACCGGCGCCTTGAGCAAGAAGGGCAGAAAGCGAAGAGGAGGAAAAGTTGAACAAAAGGAGTACAAGGCACAAAGAGAAGAGGGGGCAGGAGGCATAATTACTCTGGCATTAGAAGGCATAGAAATGGAAACTCTTGTTTTTTCCGACAGGTTGACTGCTTAGCTAATCAGTTAGCCAGGCTTTGGGCTAAAGGCTTTCGAGCGACTGCAGCAGCATCAGCAGCGGCGGGAAATTTTGGAGGCGAGACCAACTTTGTGTTGGAAGAGGTGTACGTGCGTGACTTTAGCAAGGTGACATGGGACAAGAACGTCGTGTTGGGTTGGAAGCAGCAGTGGGAGCTTTTAAAGCGTTCATTTGTACAGCTGCCTTTTGCGGGAGGGCGGGCCAGAAACTGTCTTTGCGTGGGGATTTAAAGGCCGCCTAATAGGGATTTGAAGGAGGTGGGGGCAAATACAATACTAAAATACAATACGACGAAACGTGTTGGGCACCGAAGTAGCACCAGAGAGAAATAAAAAAGGTGCCATCTTTTCCTTATTTCTTTGGTGAGGCCCCGCACTTGGTGAAACGGTTATAAACGAAGGAGGCGTTTGATATTTTGTAATATCCCAAAAGCAGGTACGGGTTGCTTGAAGTGAAAGCTTGCTGATGCAGCGCTACAGATCCTGTGGTCTTTAAAACCAATCTCTGTCTTTCTGTGGGGCAGCGGGGCACGCTGGTTTTTTTGTTTTTGTTTTTACAGAAGCGCAGTTGGCGTCCAAGAAACGTCGACCAGAGAAGTATAAATTTCATTTGTGTGGCATTTTATGATAACTTAGAATATTAGATTATTTATCCAACAGTAAATTCCATTTGGGCTCAATTCTGAGTTGTCATGTGGGTTACATCTGTCTGAAGAAACCAGTGTATGAAATTCTGAATGTAGTTCATTAATGTACAGGTGTATTTAAATATTTCAAAATGACTGAGATTTGTGGTTAAAGGTTGGGAGGATAGCAAATGTCTTGAAAACTCCTTGTACCAAGCAAACTTTTTATCTCTGTCACTCTGAATGCTTTTATTTAAAAAGTTGCATCCTCTGTTTAGATTTCTATGGGTTTGTTGAGGGCATTCAAGTTTATTATGCTTATACAGTATCTTAATTGAGTAGAGGAAGACAAATAACTTAAAAGTAACATGAAAATTATTTACAAGGTTTACTGTTCCATTGAAAGATACTGTAGCAATCAACCAGTAATGTAATGTCAGGGATCTCAGATTTGAGGAGATTGAATAGATCTAGGATGAGGCCCCATAAATTAAGACTCATTTATAAAATTAGAGTTTCTTGGTTTTATTTTTCCTTAGGATTAGTAGAAATTCCATTTTGCAATTGTGGTTTATTTAGTGGAATACTTTCTGAATATAACTTTGAACTCCTTTTTAAAAGTTAAAATTTCACAAATGTAAGATTAAAATATAACATCTTGGTTTTATTAAACAATATACTAAAACAACTTTTAAAATATATTTTCTTTCAATTATAATTCTTGGTTGGCTATTAGATATTTTTTATAGCTTACAAATAATTCTGAGCAGCATTTTATACTATTGATTGTGTTAGGCTAATTACACAAGGCTAGTAGTATTTTCAAGTAGATGCACTTTTGCATCCAACTTGCTCTACATCCAGTATCATGTGTCAAGCATTTTCATGGAGAGCTGTACAAGTGGGTACAGATGAGGAAAAAACCCACCATCCTTGCAAATAGGTGTGATTGGATGTAATTTTGTCCAGGTAAACCTGCATAAAGCTTTCTGGATCATGTAAGATCCAATTTGTGTAATGATTTAGTCACCAGGCTAGAGACCAGGAAATTGAGTTCTACTCAGAAGTCAACACTAATTTGAATGCATAAACAAACATACGAGGATCTTCTAGTTTGCTCTTTGTTTTTTATTCTTTGTTCAATCAGCTTTTAGCAATTATGATCAAAGGTGATTATCAGATCCAAATGAAAAGAACTAGAGCATCTTGCTGTTCTCAGCTGAAAGTTACCAATCCCCTTTAATAAGGAATTATAGTCTTTTCCATTTTGTGGCTATGTTTATCTGGAAACTATAAGATCTATAATCCACCACAACTAAGATCTATATTATTACAGATGAATTTGTCAGGTGATAATTTACTACATTTTGTACAGTATTTCTTGGACCATTTCTTGTAGTTGCACGATTCTAAACTATGTGTGCAGTGGAGTGAAGATTATTCATAGGTTGATTGATAAACTTGTTTGATTTGGAACAAATAGACTAAAATTGTTGACTATTGTTTTCTTTCTAATAATATTATGAAAAGGCAATCCATCATCCTGTCCGTAAATTCTATATTAAACTACACAATGTAGTGCCTGCAGATAAATGCAACTTCTGCTATTGTTTTAATCTTTCTCCATTGTGTAACGTTGGACAAACATAAGATTGTCTTTTCAGTACTGCTTCCTTTTCATTGTGCTTTCTTTTCAAAAGGTACGAAATATTGTGCCACTGAAGATTAAGAGATAAAATTGAACAAAATATTATAGGTGTCTATTTTTGGCAAGTGCTGTATTATTTGGTAATACAGTAATTATAGCAAATATTGATTCAACTATAATGAATTATATGTCTAGGTTCAAGTTAAATCACATTTGAAATAGGCCTATTGCAATAAGCTATTCAGGACTTCCCAGGCTTAAATTAAAATATAATAAATGTAAGTACAGTCTGCTGCTTAAGTCAAAAATATGTACAGATTTAATGCCTCTTTTTTCTTTATAAAATTTGTATGTTTTATGTAAAAAAAAACATAAAATTAGTATTTTTAAATGGACTTGAAAGATACAAATTAAAATAGCTATTCCTATTTATTCAGAATAAAACCATGGAAAGATAGCTGGTAAATGAAGACATGTGTCAGTTAATATTTTTCTCCAAATAATAGTTTTCTCCACCAAAACAATAAAATGTATTTAATTTATTGATTAGCTTTCCTGGTAAAAAAGATGTTTCAGGTGAGCACCCATGATACATGAAATAAGATAAATACTAACTAAAAATGTCAGTCTAGTTCCAAAAAAAAAAATTATAACAAAAGGAATCAAAAGCTGTATCTTGTACTATAATGGCTTTTTACCCTTCTGTATAAGATGTTCTATGTTCAGTTCAGTCATGTATACATTACATATATAATACATACCATATGTATATGTACAGGTGAAATGCAAAAGTTGTGCAAAAGTTCATTTATTTCAGTAATTCAGTTTAAAAGGTGAAACTAATATATGACATAGACTCATTACATGCAAAGCAAGATAGTTCAAGCTGTGATTTGTCATAATTGAGATGATTATGGCTTACAGCTTATGAAAACCCCAAATCCACAGTCTGAGAAAATTAGAATATTACATGCAATCAATAAAACAAGGATTGTACATAGAACAATATTGGACCTCTGAAAAGTATAAGCATGCATATGTACACAAAGTACATGCATATGTACTTGGTTTGGGCCCCTTTTGCAGCAATTACTGCCTCAATGCAGCATAGCATGGAAGCTATTACCCTTTGGCACTGCTGAGGTATTATGGAAGACCAGGATGCTTCAATAGTGGCCTTCAGCTCTTTTGCATTGTTTGATCTCATGTCTCTCATCTTTCTCTTGGCAATGCCCCATAGATTCTGTATGGGGTTCAGGTCAGGCGAGTTTGCTGGCCAATCAAGCACAATAATCCCACGGTCATTGAACCAGGTTTTGGTGCTTTTGGCAGTGTGGGCAGGTGCCAAGTCTTGCTGGGAAATGAAGTCAGCATCCCCATAAAGCTTGTCTGCGGAAGGAAGCATGACGTGTTCCAAAATCTCCTGGTGGACAGCTGCATTGACCCTGGACTTAATGAAGCACAGTGGACCAACACTAGCAGATGACATGGCTCCCCAAATCAACACAGACTGTGGAAACTTCACACTGGACTTCAAGCATCTTGCAGTGTGTGCCTCTCCATTCTTCCTCCAGACTCTGGGTCCTTGGTTTCCAAATGAGATGCAAAAATTGCTCTCATCAGAAAAGAGGACTTTGGATCACTGAGCAACAGACCAGTTCTGTTTTTCTTTAGCCCAGGTAAGACGCTTTTGACGTTTGTTTTTCAGAAGCGGCTTGACGAGAGGAATACGACATTTGAAGCCCATGTCCAGGATCCGTCTGTGTGTGGTGGCTCTTGATACACTGATTCCAGCCTCAGTCCACTCCTTGTGAAAGTCCCCAACACTTTTGAATGGCCTTTTCCTGACAATCCTCTCCAGGCTGCGGTCATCCCTGCTGCTTGTGCACGTTTTTCTTCCACACTTTTCCCTTCCACATAACTTTCACATAGCTTTGATACAGCACTTTGGGAACATCCAACTTCTTTTGCAATTACCTTTTGAGGCTTTCCCTCCTTATGGAGGGTGTCAGTGATGGTTTTCTGCACAACTGTCAGATCTTTTCCATGATTGTGATTCCTACTGAACCAGACTGAGAGACCATTTAAAGGCTCAGGAACCCTTTGCAGGTGTTATGGCTTAATTAGCTAATTAGAGTGGGACACATTGAGCCTAGAATATTGAACCTTTTCACAATATTCTAATTTTCTAGATTGTGGATTTGGGGTTTTCATGAGCTGTAAGCCATAATCATCTCAATTATGACAAATCACGGCTTGAATTATCTTGCTTTGCATGTAATGAGGCTATCTCATATATTAGTTTCACCTTTTAAGTTGCATTACTGAAATAAATGAACTTTTGCATGATATTCTAATTTTTCGAGTTTTACCTGTATATTGGAGAAATGAAATGGGTACAGAAACAGTTTACTACTATTCTATCTAATAAAATGTAGTTTTGTGTTTTGTTTTGGTTTTGAATTGAAAGGAAATAAGAATCTTTTTCTTACATCCTGAATAATCACTGAAACTTAATT